ACTAAAAAAATATCCAGTCGTGCCAAAAGAAGTCTGCGAAATTTTACAGGGATATGCTCAGGCATCTGAATTAGAAGCGAAGCGAATATTGTGGGTCCCCAGGTGACTATTTTATATTCCTTATCTAGCGATATGATCGAACAAGAACAGATTAATAAGTCGGGGCAACTAGGATGGCTTACTGGTTAAAGGATTGGTGATTGATTTTCCCGCAGTAATATAGGCAAATGCATGCCATTGAATCCCACTTAACCTCCCCCCGGGATGCTTTCTCAACCGATTTGGAGTGCAGTTTACACACCACCTGGCTCACCGACATACCACTAGAATAAGAAATTTAGCTGTGTGCATCAAGCGGTGACATTCGCCAGACCTGGAAATCAGCTAGGTAACATGCCGCCAGGAGACTAGGCCACACCCAATTTACATTCATATTGGGATTGGAGTTGATTACACGAACTCGCAATTGTCATTAAACTCATCATTATGATTACAGTGAACAGTAAAATTCTCTAAATACCTAATTGAGAATAAAAGCTTGCAATCGGGTGAACTTGATCGTAATGCTAAAGGATAGCATATTTGCGACCACCCTAATAGAAAATTATGAACATATTTTTAGTTATCAATGTTGGTACTGTGAAATCTAAGCTTACGCATAACAACTATCCAGTCATCTCAACTATTCCGTAGTCTAAATAAAGGATAATCCAGTTTTAAATCATGATAACTTGAACTGCCATTACTCAAACTGTGATCAGAAGGGATAGGTTAACAGAAATCATCTGTTCGTAACCATCAGACATCCATAGAGGGAAGTTGTTTTAGTAAATGGTAGAAGCACATGAGTCTTGGCGACAATCGTCTCTTCGCGTCACAGTGCTCAGCTGTGCCAGTGGGCCGAATTGAGGGTTGATTTAGAGGCGATGGGAAATTGATTGCGAGGGACCGAGAATACCGACGAGTGGAGCTGTGGCAACTTCCATTTGAATCGTTTTCTTTATGTCCTTTTCGTAAATGTGATGATGGAAGATAGGCCATTGCAGAGGTTGATCTGGCCGGTAGTATGAGCTTTACTGGTGTCATAAATTGACGTATAAGCGACAAGCACTGGCCTCTGTGCGCCTGGAGCCGGGAAATCAATCCGATTCGTGTCAAATGAAGCAGACTACGTCGGAGGGCAAGGTTTCCGGCCTGAGACTGCACAGCGAAGGCGTGGAAGAGCGACCAAACTAGTGACAAGGTAGAAGAGAAATGGAATGGACGACTAATCGTGGTTTATCAAGGAATTTAAGTCGGCACCAAAGTAGGTCTCTTTCCAACCAGCGGATATCCGGAACGTATCTTGCCTCTCCACTAGATCAGCCTGAAAATCAGTGCTTAAGTATGGCACAAAATAAGGA